TCAGGTGACCATCTTCTTGCAAGCTCTTTAATTGAAGAAACATCAATAATTCTATAATGCAAATATTCATCTAATCTTTTCATTTCCTTTCTAAAATAATTAAAATATTATTAAAATAATAAGAAATTAACATACTTCATAAATAATCTATCACAATAAACACTGTTACCAGCCAATGGAGCCAATCTCTCCGATGCAACATAGTGTTTAACAAAATCCAAGACTGTATCCTCAACTTGCTGAATGGAGAGTGTGCTCTTCCGAACGGCAGCAGTCAAACCACTATCACCATGATGCTGTTTACACCAATCATTCATATTATCTAAAACAGAGTCACTCTGATGAACAATCAATGAATCCAATTGTGCAATAATATTTAAATTACCATCAGTAATAATGACTGCAATTTCCAAAATGTGATCGGAATCAATATCTAATCCTGTCATCTATTTAGAATTAATTGTGTGAATTGTGGTCAGTGGCTATTATATCTTACCTCCATGTCAACCCAAACAATAGGGTCTTGTACAAGAGTTGTTGTCATATTTTTAAATAATATTATATTTTTATTATATTATTTGATCTTGATAGATTGTTACGAGTTTCCAAAACCATGCTCAAAATAAAAACCATAGTTGAAGGAGTCGTCTTTGCATTCACATTTGGAAATTTAACACACAATAACAAACCAATAAAAGTACAATTTACTTCCATAAGGAGCTTCTTACAAAAAAGATCTTCTTGATGATACTGCTTTTATTAAAAAATATTGTCACGTTTTTGCTTAATTATTGGCACATTAATGGTACAACTCATAAACAATAATACAGAAACATTTCAAGAAACAAGGACCCAATACACGTTGTATATTGTATTATTTGATATATATAAGAAGTTTTAACTGAAATAAATATTGTTTCCAAAAGTAGATACATTTTTAAATTTTTTAAATTTATATCAAATTTGAATTTAATTAAAAATTTCATTTTTAGATATTATTGTCTTAATTTTGGTAAAACTATTGTAATCAGCGTTATAATGAACGGTACTAAAAATCTTTCCTTAAATTTACTCACTCATCTTTTTTAAGATTAATTAATGATAACTGCCAACAATAACTTTTTAATTTCTTTATGAAATTTAATTTCATCACCCATGACATATGAATATTAATAAATATCATGGTATCGTACCATAATATTAACGGAAATCGTCTCTTTTAAAAAGAAGATAGATTTTAAAGTTTTTTAAGTAAATCTGATTGACAAATTTATTGTAAAATTATTAAAAATGACAAAAAGTCAAAACTGAAGAAGAAAACCAAAGTTCATCACCCCCCGTGAAAAAATGTTAATATTAACATCTTCGTTGCCTCGACCTCTCGTACTGGTCATAGTGGTATCTTTCATAACGATAAAGTTTATCTTTTCGGAGGCTTTGTCAATTCCGAACTAGTAAACGATCTCATTCAAGTGGATGTTTCCTCACAAAAGTGGGAAAACAAGACAATACATAATAGGGACCAAGTGCTCGTAACTTCCACTCCTCGTGTCTATTGAAACGAAAATCGGAGCCTAGTAGTGATGAGATTATCACTCCACGTTATGGTCAATCATCAACGATTTATGGTGATTATTTGGTTGTGTTTGGTGGTCATGATAACAACAGT